CCTGTCTTCCTTCCATTCCATGTGCTTTACCCTTCACTGGAGAGGTTTAAAAACTGCTTGCATAAGCATGAGGGAAGATCTAGGGGAGGTTGCTCCTGCATCAGTTGAGAGAGGCCCCATGACCCCCTGACTGCTGTCCCAACTCCATGCCTTGTTTGGTGGATGGACCGGTTTTATCCAAGACTCTCAGAGAAGAGTGCATTGCCCATGCCACCAGGCTCCTGGTCCCCTCCAGAGCTACCAGGCAGCTGGAAAGACAAACAAGAGCTGACTCCACCTACCAGCAGTATGGAGACAGCAGCCCGTGAGATCGACAGCCCAAGAATGTGCACACAATAGAAGCATTTCCCTCGGCCACGACAGTAAAACCACCAGACAACCACATGCAGCATGTGATTTCCCAAAAGCATCAGCCCAGATCCCAACTTCTTTGTGCCACACAGTTTCCCAGGATCGGATCACAGTGGCAACGTGTAAAAGGCACTTTCGAGCACTGAAAATTAATCTTATTTTCCTCAAGATTGTTTATGGAAACTGTGGAGAGCACTCCTGCTCCTCAGTGCTGGCCAGCTGGCTCAGCCCTCCGGCCCGCGGAGTCAAGCCCTCCACGAAGGTCGGTGGTGTTTATGGTGGAGTTTCTCTGCCTGGGGAGGAGACGTCCAGGCCTATCCCGTGAAGCGAAGCTTCGGCAGTGATCTAGGAGGGGTTGTCTGTTGACCTGCCTCTTGCCCTCTTCTTCACTCTGTGCCACTACTAGCAGCAGCTGGTACGCAACGCAGGGCAGGCCCCATGCCATCTGCCCGCCAGGGCTGCAAAGGGTTGTGAGAGCACCCACATGCTTGGGAGCTTTTGCAGAGTAGGGATAAGGTGAGTCAGGATCAGTGCGGTTTCCTGTCTCCCTCTCTGGTTTTATACTGGCTAAACGGTGTTTCAACTGAGCAGCTCTGGTGTGAGACAGCTTTGATCTGCTGTATCTAAAAGCTGGTTGGGCTTGGTGGTTCTTGAATTCCTGGTTTTAATCCTTTTTGTTGGGACTTTCTGGAGTCTGCTGAGTATTTCTTAGCTGCAAAGGGAGCCATTAGTTAACGACCATCACAAGCTTCGTCAATAGAGTTCCTCAAGTGCTAGTGAAATAGCAAATGTCAAAACTTGAATACAAAATCTCGTTTTCAGTGCTATTTTCCTGCCCCTCCCTCCATCATGTGTGCCTTGTACTGCTTTAGTGTCTCGTGAGCTGTTGTGACATTGATTTTCAATGTTTTTAGGGGTGCCAGGAACATCCGTGTTAAGTATCCCTTGTTTGGTCCCTGGAGACAAACATGTTGCTGCTGTTGGTAGCAGTGGATGTATGCCTGCTGGGATCTTACCTGCCAAGAAAATTGTCTCAATTTGCAAAGGAGCTTTTCCCCCAAATCATTCTGGGGTTTAGATTTCACGTTTTCCAGGAACTGGTATCAGCTGGGTTCCGTAACCTGCACTTAGAGATAACATTTGGTTGATACCTAAGGTAAGGTATGGTACCTGATTTGGTAAGGCAGGATATAGAGCCAAGAGCCTAACCCTCACCTATGTCTCCAGATGGACCTCTAGGGAGGAGAGGGGCTAGGAACTGACCAACCCCACAGACAGGTGCAGCAGGGTGTGCTCTTCACATCCTGAACAACTGGGTTTGGGTATGGAGCACAGAATTCTGATGGTTCTGTATTTTAACAGGGAGAAGACTACGAGGGAAAGCATTCTACAATGTCAATGGCAAGGTGTACTGTGAAGAAGACTTCCTAGTAAGTAAGATTTCAGGCTTTTTTTTTAATTGCTAAACAAAAATGTTCTTTTCTATTGGCTTGTTTGCTTTGAGAGGTGGTTTGATGGTGTGGGTCCTCCTGCCAGTGGTGGAATTGGGAAACATTTACCACTGACTCCACCACGGCAGGATCAGGCTCTTGGTTTGAAGTGGTGGCTGTAAAACCAAGTACATAACGGTCCATAAGCCATCACAAAGTGTAAATTATGAGAATAAACACGGGAGCAGCTCAAGCCTGGGACTTGAATTGCAGCCACAGAGCCTGCCAAGCTCGAGCTCGAAGTCAAACATCTGGGGAATACCAATCATAACAGGAGGGAGACGTTCCTGACGGGAGCGTCATCGCCACGCACAATGTGGCTTTGTTGCGGGCGCAGTTCAATCGCTGCTCTGCTCGCAGTGCTGTGGGGCCACGTCCTGAATAGCTGTAAACTCTCCACCACGGAGGGGCAACTTGTGTTCTCTCCATGCACACAGAGCAGTTGCAAATGCATTTACTCCGATACAGGCTAAGTCATGAAAAGAAAAATGAAGCTTGTTGCTGAGCTGTGTTGTTCCAAAAATAATCAGTGCAGTTAGGGGTGAGGGTTGTGCAGTGCACAGTGAAGGCTTTGGAAAGTAGCAGACCATTTGGAATTAAGATGAAGAGGTTGGCATGGCTGGGAATTGCAATTAGAGAGATTTGATGTATTTTAGCTTAGAGGATGATGAATTGGAGAACCAGTATGTTGAATTTATACCACCTTATTTATTGAAGTCCCATTAATTTAGGAGCTTGGGTCTTGCAGAATGACTTTCCATTTCTAATGAATATATAACCATGTTTTTTGCAAAGGAATTATTCAAAGTGTCTCCCGCAACAGAAATGTTACTGGCCGTTCAGAGTATGCAAATGCATTTCTCATCAATGCAATCCATAAAAATAATGAAAATGCTTAAAATATGAGCCGTATTTGCCTTCATGTGTTACACCTTTATTCACAGCCTACCTGTGAGCTGGAGCCTGTTGGCAAAAAAACTGAGTGTATTTTGTGCAGAAAATAAGTTTCTTGTTCTAATTGTGTTACTTTTTTACTTGCATTCAGGAGAGACAATTATTTTTTCTCCCTTGCCTTTTTCAGCTCTTCCTGCAGGAGCACGGGGAGAGGGAGGAGAGGTGGAGTGTGAGAGGGAGGGGCTCAAACCTTTGAGATGTTTAATTTGAACTGTGTTGGAATGTACTTTCCCCATGATCAAAACCTTTCATCCAGACTTAATGACATGATTGTTGTTATTAGCTTGTAATTTCAGCCTAAACACAAGAATTTTAAATCTAAAAATCTTAATCTTTTGGAGAACATTCAGTTTTCATGGGGTGGGGGAGGAACCTCTGTAGCTGCTAGACACATTCTGTTCCCAGGAAAACTGAGATTAAGGACCTGATAGGAATAAACTTTCTGCAAGTTAGGGAACTGTTGGGACATTTAAGGCACAGATTTCAAAGCCTAAACCCCCCACAGGTGTGTCTCAGCAGATTCCCCAGTAGCACAGAGGGGTGGAAGAGGAGCAGACCAAGGGACTCACTGCTGTGTAAATCAGCAAAAGAAATCAAATTCTGACATTGCCCCTGCTCATGTTCAGCTGCTTCTCAGAAATTGATTGCATCTTCTCTCAGCTCCCCTGAGCAAATGTCATAGCAAGAACACTAGGAATTGTCTTGTTTCACTAATGAAATAAACCTACTTTGCCTATTTTAGAGTTCTTTGAACGGAGGAAGCTCAAAGCTTTTCTCAGAGTTGCAAGGAAAAGGCTGCAAAGTAGCAATTAAAAAGGAAATTATTTTAACCACTTCATCTTCCCAGGTCTTGATCCTGACCACTTGGAAACCCCAATCCTCTCTAAAAGGAGGTATTTTCAGTCCAAAGCAGATAGCCAAATGCTTTTTTCTGTATAACTGAGAATTTCAGTCTCTACCATGACTCCAAATCTAACTGCAACATTTTTGCAGGACATCATGATTCCCTGCTGACAGTAGGGAGTGGGATGTTAGGGACATTAAGACAGTGGGCAAAGAAAAATTTGAGAATGTAAACAGAAACAGTCTGCCTACATTATAATTGTATTTCTGCTAAGAAAATGCTGCCTGCTGTTGGTGTCCTTGCTCTTTCATGGCTTTTGTTCGTCTGGGAATTGATCAAGAGAATTAGATGCTCTGTAGGTTTGTGAGCCTGGTCACAGCTCTGTGGAGTTGCAGCCCCACAGCTGTGACCAGGTTATATCTAGTATGACTCAAGCATAATGGGAATTAGAAAGCAGGGCAGCTTCAGAAAATCTGGGCAGGAGGTACAGTGCTGTGACCCTGGGGTCACTGGGGAAATCCATGTAATCACCCCAGCATTGGAGGGGCCTGTGTGTGTACATGGTTGGGTTTGCCACAGCTGCATGATCCTCCCATGGATTCCCAGGGTCATATGCGAGGAGTCGATGTTTCATCGCTCACAGTCCCACCAAAGCAGCAATGGTCTGAATGTGGCCCTCATTTGCTCTCCCAGCAAGAGGCATCCTGATGGGAAGCAGCTGGCTTGCAAATGTAACTGGGGAGCAGGGATGGTAGTGGGCTGGAGCCTCTGTGGTACCTGTCCCCTTCCCACCCTCAGCAGGCAGCAGGGAGGGCTGTGGTTCTTGCAGAGCTCTGTCCAGCCCCACTGCTGCCTCTGTGTATCCCTCTAATTTGCTGCAGGTGCTTCTTCCCTGTCACCCCTGGCATCACCCCGGGGGTGTCCTGCAGGCCAGGCCAGGCAGGATGCAGGGACTTTGGGGCTGCAGTAAGTAGCACATGAACAACGATGGGCAGAAAAGCTGAACTGGTTCTTGCTGTGAACCAATGTAGGAATTTTTGGGAAGAAAGGATATTATTTATGGGTTTCTTCCTATTGTAGCTGTTAGAAATGTCTAACATCCTACAGATGTCAGTATTTAATTTCTCCTGCAGTACTGCTGTTTGCTGTGGCAGATCAGCTCCCGCCGGAGCAGTCTCCAGAGCTGTAGTTGATGGCTCATATGCAATACCTGGTTCTGTAACTCCCACTCAAGACAGGTCAGTTCTTTCTCTCAATCAAAGGCAGCACATAGAATTCACTGCAGTATTGTGTATGGGCTTTAAAGCCAAGACCTTGAGAAAAGCCATTTTCCAATCCCTTCAAGCGTTCGGTACTTGTCAGAGCAGGACTCACCCTGCTTGGCTGAAGTGCCCCTTCGAGGTTCAATGCAGCATTGGTACCAGCTGCTCCAGGTGAGGCTCTCTCACCCCAGAGGCAGTGACAGCTCAGCTGTGCAATCCTGTGTGGGTCACATTTTAATAGACCACAGTGGTCACTTAAAGCACAGTGTGCGCCCAAGAGCTTTGGCTCCCAAGTGTTTACCAAAAATCAGTCCATAAAAGTGTGACGTGTTGCTGCTAGCATCAAGCATCAGCCATGAGGCTGTCCAAGGCACAGGTACACCCAGCACAGCCCCTGGCCATAGCCACAAGGTGCATTCCTCTAGCAAATGGTTTTCCCACATTTGCTCTCAGTGTGGGCACAGGTCATCTGTCTCTGAACCAGGTGGCTTATTTTGCTCATTCCTTCCACGGAAGAAGTGTTAGGAGTTTTCAGACCCACTTGTGGAGCTGTAGGTGGGGAAAGGATGCCACAGTCATCCTCACGGCAACAGTGCTGGGAATGGATGGGTGAGGGTGGGAATCCCCTACACCTGGAGGACATGGCACACCTCTGCCTTCTGGGGTTATTTTGTCAGCCTCCTGCTTCCAGCCCTGAGGAGCTGCATTAGCTGCACATTCTCTCAGTGCTTAAACCCAAGCCATATTGGCTAAATGCAGTGAATGAATCAGATTAAAAAAAACCCAATAAATCCAGGGATAATTCCACTTGTGCCTAAGCATGGCACCAGAGATTGCCTAATCTGTGCCATTTCCAGTAGGATACTGCATGTTACTGAGTGTGAGGAGCAAAAAGAACAAAATAAAACCCTCAGACCTTACATTTCTTCACTTTAGCTCCAGGGAAGATCCAGTTACTCCTTTACAGGCCACCTTAAGGTAGCAAGTCTGGCAATACCCAAGTCTTGCCCCAGCCCTGTTAGGATAGTTATTTCATGAAAGGAAATAGAACAAATGACAGTTTAATCCTTTCCTGAAAGCTCTTCGGACACAGATGGCTAACTAGCCATAACAGAGACACTGTTCCTCGTGAAGTGAACAAAAAATAAATGCCTTACTGTATAATAAATAATCCCAGTCAGATGTTCCAGAGTCATTTTGTTGATAAATTGCTGCATAATCATGGGTGAAGGAAAAATAGCTCAATAATTTTAATTTGTCTTTCCTTTTCAATGCTTAAATATCATGTATAGAAATTTAAAAGAAATTAATGTTTTTCTTGGCAAAAAAGACTTTAAAAATGTCACCAAAGCAGTCTGAATCTTAGATCTATTATCTATCTTTTTTTTCTTCTCCTTTTTCCCCCCTTTTTGATGGGCTTTTCCTTTTTCTCTTGAGGTAATGAACATTATTGAGTGGGGGTCCAGTAGAGGTTAAGAAATGAGAGAATTTCCCTCGAGGGAGGAGATGAGAGGGAAAATGAACCTCGTGACAGATGTTAGTTACATTGCTTAATGCACTACTGGAAGACACTCAGATGCTCTGGAAATAACCTATTACAGACACCACAAGCTGCAGTGCATAGCATTAAGGTCATCCGAAACTTCCCCTTTTAAGATTTTCTCTTTCATTGTCATATAACTTTGCCAAATTTAATCATTTAGGCTGAACTTCTTTATGCTAGGTTTTTGCCTCTGGCTAACTTTGCTGTCATTAGTTGTTGAAAGTTTCATCTAAAGCTGTTCATCCATTTCAGCGAGTAAGACTGGAGGAACTTTGCCCATAAATCCTCAAAGAGAAAGGCTCTAAAAACTTCGTTTTGCACATATCAACCAGCAAGA